CCCGCTAGACCCCGCCGCGCCACAGCGGCCACTGATTCCGTCGCCGGCGGCCGCCCCCTACTACGTCGTCGGAAACAAAAGCCGCTCGAGCCAATTCCCTCATCATCCGTCCCTTTCCCCCAACCCTACCGCCGCCGCTTCCACATCTCCCCCGCGCCCGTCCCCCCGCAGCGCCGCCAGACCGACGCGCACGCTGGCAGTCCCCAGAGTGGGCGCCGCAGGCACCCGCCCTGTCCAGTTAATATGAGAAAATCAGCACGGACGTGTCGATGTACGTTTGTGTGGTGCGCGCGCGTGTTGTTGGAGTCCCTGCCAAGTCGGAGTGGCGGGGTGGGGCGGGCGGTGTCTGCGGGCCAAAGTTCTTTTCTCGTTTTCCCTTATCCTTCTGTCCTTTTTTTCCTTTCCGGAATTGCTGAGCGAGAGGAGCAGCAGGCCTTTGCTGTCGGTTTAGTTATGGGCTTTGAAAGGGTCCGCCATCTCTCTCTCTCTCTCGCTCTCTCGCTCTCGCTCTCGCTCTCTCTGGCTCTCCCTTTCTTTCTCTGCCGCCGCCAGGATGTGGTTGCGTAAGGAGGGGCAAGGGGCTTCCACGATGCGGACATTCTTGTCGACTTGGGGGAGCGTAGGCGTCCGGCCGGGTCGGTGTGCTCGTGGCGGGAGTGCGGGGCGACGCACAAAACTCTCCTTTTGATGGTCAGCACATGAGATGATGAGAAAAGAACAGTGCTCCTTCGTCTTGCAAACGAGTATTATTCGTCATTGGGTACATAAACTGTTCGTAGTTGGTAAAAGTAAAAATAAAACTTTTCGTAAAATTGTGATTTAATGGGGTCAATTTATAAGGATGTTTGAAAAATTGTTTCAGAAGTTCGGCTACAAGAACAGGAGCCCCCGCCGGATCTGAGCCCGGATTGGACCCGACATGACCCCGACCGTAACAGTGGGTAATCTGGGCTCATCATGTGATCTGGGCTCAGATCCAACGAGGCTCGTGTCCTGCTTGCAGCCGAAAGTTCTTTGTCCGGGATCGTTTTTCAATTAAAACTGTTACTTTAAAGTTACAAAGAGTTTATGTAGAAAAATTAACACGACATTCTTCGTCAAACGACGATATAATTCCTGTCAGTCAAAGTCATGCTCCCCTGATTATTATTTTTCCAGATGGTGACCATGATGATAACCGTTGTTGCGGCGTTCACGATATGTTGGCTGCCTTTCAACATGCTCGTGGTGAGTGGGTATACGTCTGTCCCCGCGAGTTTCTCCTCTGCGAGAGGGTATTTCAGTGAATCCAGAAGCTGAAAGTAAGAACTGAAATAAAACCTCATAAAAAACAGCAGTTGAATGTGAGCCGTCAGCCGTCGGGTATGAGAAACTTGTGGTTTCATGAAAATAAACAAACGGAGGACAGAGAATTACCTATTATTCCCAAATCTCGAAGGCTAGCATTCAACTGCTAGTTTCGTATTTCTTACTCCGTTTCCGTTTTACTTCTTGCTGCTGGCGCCGGGGTTCACGTCAAAATTTTCATCCTTTTTTTCTCCTTCCTATGCAGACCGTTTGGACGTACAACGACTCTCTGAGTGACCAGCAGTGGCTCCCCGAGATGTACTTCGCCTTCCACTGGCTCGCCATGAGCCACTCGTGCCTCAACCCGCTCATCTACTGCTGGATGAACGCCCGCTTCCGCCAGAGCTTCCGGTCTGTGCTGCACTGCGGCTCCTTCAACCGGAAGCGGCGGCCTGTCGCGCTGCAGCACGTCCACGGCACGGGTACCGGCACGGGCGGCCTGACGTGCACCTCCTTCCGCTCCAACAGAAAGACCGTTTACCTGGAGGACGCGCTGTGACAGACGGCTGACTGCTAGTCATCATCTCCTCGCGTAGAGCGTACTAACGTCACCCAATAACTTCTCTGGGCCGCGGTGGATGCCGTTAGTACGCAGTGGAAGCGTAAAAAACGTACAATAACGTCGGCTCCTTCTGAAGTGTGTTTCTTACATACGAACGTACGACTCATATCTTTATTTTCTATTTTTTGGTTGTGGAACTAAGGATCTCGATTATGCTAGTCAAAAAATATAAGTTTACGGGCGCTGTTGTTTACTTATATGCATAACAAAGTCTGAAAACTGTAAAAGTATAAGTTTTCCCCGTCGGAAAAAGAAAGATTTATACGATTTTTTTCTTTTCGATGTTTGGCCTATCATTTAGTGTATATTTATTGTTGAAATACGTTTTACATTGTGATATTATTTATTAGTATTTGACGATATAAGTGTAAAAGAAAATGTACGAATTTACAAAAACGTTTTGTAAATCTTCTAGATATAATACGTAATTTATTATTGTACGAGAACTCCTGGAGATGTTAAATTTTGGGTCGTAAAAATACGAGTATGGCAGTGAGTTCAATCTGACCCATGTTGATCTAAGATCATAGATGTCACCATATTTAAATAATACGGCAATTAGTCGAAAATTCCGAGATTTCTCCTGGTCAATGTGCGTCTATGACTTCAATGAATGGTCTTGTTGTGCATCCAGTGAGTTTATCGCCTCAAACTTAAAATTTTAGTTTGGGGGTCTTTTTATACTGAAACTCACGACACTGTCAATGTGACAAACAATAAAAGAAACGAAAACCAAAATAACTGTCTCGTTCAAAAACTGGCGCGAATATCACACTGAGTCACACGAATCCCAAACAAAGTGCAAACCGGGTGGCGGCGCGGTGGCGGGACTGGGTATGAGGAAGAAGCCCCGAGAGCAGCACCAGGCCCCACCCCCACAACGCTCCAACCCCCTCCCTCACCCCCTACCCGGGAGCACACCGCGCTTAGTTGGGCCATTAAAAGGCAATATCCGACACAAGTGACCCCCCCTCCGCCCTCCTACCCTCGGCGCGTCCAGTTTCTCCACACTTTTACACGCACTCACACATTCTCACAGACACAAACACAGCGTGCGAGCGAGTGTCCAACGCGCCGCCCCCCGCTGCAGGATGTTGCGCCTCGTTGAAGACGGTGGAAGAAGGAGAGTAGGGCTGACGGGAAGCGTACGACATGGTGCTGAGGGAGCCCGCCTTTAACGGTGTGTTCGTGCTCTGGTTTCAGCGGGGAGGCGCTCCTGGCCAGAGGGCCCCCGAGGTGGTCAGGGCGCCGGGAGGGTACGCCGGCCGCGAGCCCGCGGGACACGTCTGCGCGCCGCGTTGCCTACCCTCTCCGCCACAGGCGTCCCGGGCTCGCACTGCCAGGACCTCGCACGTGGGCGCGGGGAAGGGGTATGCGAGGAGTACTTCGCCCGCGCATACCGATTTTTCTGCCTTTACTTGATTTTTTCTGATTTTTTAATTATTTTTTTTCTGTTTTTTTTTTTAGCGCAGCTTGGAAACTTGCGTCAACTGCGTGTATATTGGCCATATGTCCGTTGGCCAGTAGGCCGTCCGTCGAACTAAATGAGTCGGTTTACTCGAACGCCCGTCGGTCTGGCTGTTCTCTCGGTAGCAGCCGACGTCCGCATTCGTCAGTCAGCTATGGCCTGTGAGAGTGTAAATGCCCAGAGACCACAGGAGGGGCCCCGCAGAGACGAAGCCGAGGACGAGGCGATCCTCCCACGCGCCCTGGGACTGCGCCAAGGTCACGGAGGGATATCGCAATTACTAATGTAGCCCAGGCAGTGGCGCTTCTTGGTCCTGCCGGCGGCAGTTCGGTGAGTGAAGAGCGTGGGCGGAGAGTGCGTGTGCAGCGGAACGGGTGATGAGATGGAGAGAGAGAGAGAGAGAGAGAGAGAGAGAGAGAGAGAGAGAGAGAGAGAGAGAGAGAGAGCGCACAG